AAAATTTTTAGAGACATGGCTTAAAAACTCAAATATCTTTTTCTTTACGGTAATGCCAATTAAACATGTATTTCTATTTTTTTTTTTTTTCAGTGAGGAGGATACGGATTATGAAGTCGATGAGACAAGAGGATGTGTTTGTGTAATTCTATGATATTGCTAAATTAGCTTAGCAAAGTTCTATTGCATCACAACATCAAGAAGAGCAGAGTTTCCAACTATTTCAGACCTAATTTTACATTAGCCGGAAAAACATTCATGTCAGGTCGGTACCAAGTGCGATTTATATTCTCTACCTCTCTGTTAATCAAGAACACTTCGTGGGAATGATAATTTTTTTTTTTTAGTTGTTTCAGTGAGAAAAGTAATAATTTCTCATCTCTTATCTTACTTCAATTGTATATTATGTAACTTAAATTTATAATTTTTTATTTTCAACAAAAAAATAATTATTAAATTATTTAAATCGTTGACGAAAATGATAAATTATTATGCACTTTCTCATACCATGCAAAATTCGATTCCTCAAAAATTAATGAAATTTCTCTTGCTCAGAAATTACTTTTCTTATAGTTCATGTCTCTACATTTGCAAGTTTGGAAGCCTAATTTTCAAACAAACGCTACTAAAAACAACACGAAGAACTCAACACTTCCATGTTCTCTAAAAGACCATTCACATGCTTTATTATGATAGAAAGTTACGTATAGCAGCATTTATATGGGCTTTAGGTAGATAATATAAATAAATACATTGTTATATTGAAATATTTAAATGTAAGCTATCTATTAATACTAAAATTCAATATATTATTTGATTCATTAATTATTAATATAATTAAATTTATCTACATAATTCTTTGATCGGGATAGATGGGGCAAAAGTTGCATCAAAAATTATTTTTTATTGTATTTTTTAATACACATTTATAAAAGTATTTTTAATTTTTTATAATTAAATTAATTTTAATTAATATTTTATATAATTTTATGATTATGTTAATATATAAATTTTTTTAAAAAATAATTATTAAGTAATAATATATATTTTTTATAATAAAATATCAAACAACTTACAGGATGCCAACTTGTAACAATCTCAAACACAACAAAGGAATGAATGGAAAATTTCCAGCCGCCATCTTTTCATAGTTCCCGATAAGAAAGGAGAATAATGCCACGTGGCTTCATATACTTGAAGTGGAAACGCAAGATCCCATTAGAGCCACCAGTCAACTAAGCTCTAATCCAAATCTGCTTCCTGAACCAATCCACTCTTCCTCCTCACAAGCTCTTTCCCAATTGCCATCCTTTCTTCCAAGCTTTCATCCCTCAAAGCTTCCCTGAGGATAAACATCAAACAGGGTTCGCGCTAAATCAACCATGTCTTTGGCGCCAGGTAGCTACCCATCTCTATACTGTCCGCCACCATTGCCAACTAAGCAAACCCACCTCCTGTTTTCATCAACCAAGCATTCCTTATCCAACAACTGCTCATTTCTTAGAGGTTCGTTGAGTTTCTGCAACACCCGGTTGCTAAAGCAATCAGCTTTGATGGTTAAAGCATCGGAGACAGAGACTCAGACATCGAAACTGGAGAGTGGAAATGAAGGAGAGGAAGGAGAAGAACAGTATGAGGAGTATGAGGTGGAGATAGTGCAGCCTTATGGGTTGAAATTCAGAAAAGGCAGAGATGGTGGAACTTACATTGATGCCATCGCACCTGGTGGATCAGCTGATAAAGCTGGGTTGTTCACTGTTGGGGACAGAGTACTTGCCACCAGGTTTTCTGTTGGTTCATTTGAATCCATTTTCAATACCATTTAGCATGAATTCTGTATTTAAGGTGACCAATGAACCCTATATTCTATGCAGTGCAGTGTTTGGAACAGAAATATGGCCTGCTGCTGAGTATGGGAGGACAATGTACACAATTCGCCAGAGAATTGGTCCATTGCTCATGAAAATGCAGAAAAGATATGGTTAGTTCACCCCCTGCTCTTACCTTCTTTTCGTAACCTTTATGATGAGAGAAATTTGAAACAATTTTCTATGTTTTCCAGGCAAAGTGGATGATTCAGGTGAATTAACCGAGAAGGAAATCATCAGAGCGGAGAGAAACGCTGGCGTAATTAGTAGCACAGTGAGGGAAATTCAAGTGAGTATAGCTTCTTTGACATGAGAAAATTTATGGTCAATATGAAACTGAATTACATGCCAAAACTCATCATCCTCGTTGGTTTCAGATGCGAAACTCCATTAGGAAAAAAGAACAGAAAGAACGCAGGATTAAGGATCTTCGTGAAGGGTTGCAACTATACAAGTTAGTGTTGAAGTTATGCTCACCTTGCTCTACTCATGCAACATTTCATCCAACTGATATATTCTTCTTTGTTTCATCGACAAAGGAGTGCCAAATATGAGGAAGCACTGGAGAAATTCGAATCCGTTTTGGGATCGAGACCTGGGCCTGAAGAAGCTTCAGTAGCAAGTTACAATGTTGCTTGCTGCTATGCAAAGCTTAACCAGGTAGAGCTGGTGTCTGCATTCATCATATTAATATTTTTCATTTTTGTTGATGGCATTGTTAGAATTGTTTGTACTTTCTGAAACTTTTGATAGATACAAGCTGGTATCTCTGCCCTACAAGATGCCCTGCAAATGGGATTTGAAGACTTTAAGGTAATGAAGCAATCATAAGAATTACCTGTCTTTTTTTTTTCCCCTTCCTTCTTTTATTCTCTGAAATTGTTGTTCTGTTTTTACAGAGAATCAGGACAGATCCTGACCTGGCCAACATACGAACATCAAAGGAATTTGACCCTCTGTTGAAAAGGTTTGATGAATCATTTATCAATGAGAATGCCATCAATGCTGTCAAATCTTTATTTGGCATATTCAACAAGAAATAAGGCCACTGACATTTGGTTTAGAAGGTTCAAAGAGTCATTTTATTCTCTAGTATAGTCTTTTCTTTTCCATAGCTTCAAGACTACAGTGAGATAAATCTAATACACTAAGCGTTTCTCTTTTAATTTTGTTTTTCTATCATGCATAGGTCATGGGACTCGTTCATGCTCAAGCTCACGAACAAAGTTGAGCTTGAGCTAGATCTCAAGTTCAATCACTTTGAACTCAATCGTATATTTAAAGTGGAGTTTAAACACGTATTTAGATACTCAATTCAACTCATTAAAAGTCCTACCATCTTATTTTGAAATATGAGAACATTTCCATTTTACATTTGAAGTTATTTACTTTTTTCATCTAAGAAGTCAATTATAAATCGAATAATTTAAGTCAAAACACCCAATAAAATCATAAATATAACATAGAATGTACATAGCAAAAATGAATGTCTAGGCTATAAACAACTCTTCAAATTTGCTGCCGCTCATTATGCCTTGAGCTCCAAGTCAAAAGACCATGGTACAACTTAAAGGCAAGCTCAAGGAAACTCTATCTTCACAACATCTTATTCCTATGCAAAATAACAAATTGCAAAGTTACATATATAAATACCATGCAGGGCAAAATTTCCAAGTCGAATGTTTCAAACTTGAACCGATTTTCTCCGAAAGCAACGGAAAAGCCTAAAATTTACATCTTCAAATTGCGCTTTGAGTCCATCTTTCGCCCTTTGCAAGTTTAAGCTTCAATGCCTAAAACCCTGTCCATAAAGCTAAGTTCAAAGCATTTCCCTTTAGCTGCTTATTACAAAATTTACAGGATCTTCTCCAACTATACCTAAAGTCTGCACCAATACTGTAACTAGTTAAAACATAAAAGGGTTAACAGAAGGTAATATGTAAAGAAAATTGTATATCATACCAGCAGATTATTTCTTCAAACCATTGCTTGAGAGGACTTTCTTCCCATATGGGCTGGTTCGGAGCACAGGAACATGGGTTCTTATGGCATCAACCAATGCAGCATGAAGAGCACCCTGCACAAGAAGTGTAGGAGCCAATCGAATTAGTAATTATTTGAATGTTTTATTTTGAGCAACTAATTATAGACAATTAAGAAGTTTGTACTTTGGGAAGAAATACAAAAATGCAAAGTCTCTTTAATAAAAAGTTTTCGCAAAGTTAATGATGGTGAAAACTTGACAGAGCTCAAAATGCAGGAGGCCTCAAACTTTAGTAATTTGAACAATGAAATCACTAACCTTTGATTGCTGCAATGCTGCTTGGATAACATAATTGCCATAAGGATCTTGCATGATTTGATCAAGGTGGGAATTATTTATCAGCTCCCGTATGATACGAGTCCGCCATTCTTCACCTGCATATTTCAGGCATTTCTCAACCACATTGCTGCTATACTTTTGCATGGATAAGTCCCCATAGTTTCCCTCCAATTGGTCAAGAATATCCTGTGTTGCCCACGTAAGCTCCAGCTCAAAGACATATTGCACAACATAATTCCTGCAGAGTTAAAATCCTAGGTTTTATTGTTGTAAGCTTAGTATAGGACACAATATGATATCTAAGCTTGGTTTTTAAATCATCGAGTATTTTTTGGACCAATAAAATTTCAGAGAGCAATAATATCATGAATCAAGTCCATGCCTTAATGACAACGTAGGATGCAACTTGTTGCTTATTTCTTTTACTAATAAAAGTACCAAAAGGAAAAGGAAGAAACTGACTTCAATTGATACATATAGCAGTACTGTTTGCTTGGAGTTGGGTATGCAAATTGTTTCCCATAAAGTGTTATTTCTTAAAGCATGTTCCAGAAAGTGAAGGGAAGATTACGCTCATGCAGTCAATCCAACATATTATAATCACATAAGGCAGAGCAAGAAATAATAGAAAGAAAGGTAGAAAAGTTACCCAAAAGGATCTTGGGAAAGGATTAGTGCATTGGAAGTGATCTGAAAGACCAAGCGGTTTCTTTGATCTTCATCTGAATAGCTGAGGCATTTTTGAAGCACACAACAGCCATGGCGGTCCGTTGCAAGCTCAACACATTTAGCAGTTGCTGCTTCAAAAAGGAACTGCAGAATAAACAAACCATTACCATGGTTTCAATTGATGAAAGAAAAAAAGAGCTAATATTGCAAAATGAACTGCAGAAACAAAAATTGTTCTTCCCTTTTCTCGTAGAATTTTAAGGCATAAATAGATTCTATAGAAGAATTATTATGCTGATTTTTCATTTTTCTTTTTTGGGAGAGGGGCAGAGGAGACAGCACATCAGTTCAATCGATAACTAGATAATGTCTGGCATGTGAGTGATATGAACAGAATTTGGCTCTTTTCTCTATGGTTTATAATGAAAGCATAACTGCTGGGAAAATGACTATCTAATGGGAACTACCAAATGTTTTTACCCCAGCCTGCACGCTAGAGTGAAGGCTAGGAACATGACAGGAAGTCTAATGACTAGATAAAGCTGAACAGTCTCAGTCTGAAGTTCACAGATATGTTTATAAATTTCAATATAAAAGACCTGAAATCAGCTCAACTTTACACTAGCGTAACAAGTAACAAGTCATTTTTAAACTTAAAAGAAGCAACATATATAGATTTCCATCCCTTACCTCACTGTAGTTTGGCATTAAATACTGCAAGCAGCGCTGGGCAACATGGTTACCATTCATATTCTTAATTAAAGTCACTATTCCAGGCTTGAGTGAGGAAACGACCATGGAGTATTGCTCTGGAGTCTTTAGGGTTTCAATGACCTTTTGAACTGCCCGAGTCCTGCATTGGAAACACAAACGTTTCAAATTGAAAAAAAAGCAAGCATAAATTGTGGGGGAAAAAAACCCTGCAACAGAAAAAGACTCTGGTAATGAGATCAAACCCATGCATGTCACATGATATCCTAACAAGATCTCCCTGTTTTCTAGTAATGGTACGAAGTATTTGCATCCTCTGCTCCTCATCACACACTTCAAGTAGCTTTTGAACTAGGTAATTCCCAAAAGGGTCTGTCATAAGCTCGACAATGTGATCAATGATCTCAAGAAAAATCTTTCTAACATCTTCTGCAGTGCCCTCTGAAAATTTTCTCTGCAAGAAGCGGCAGCCATGTTGGTCCTTTGCCATCAGATAAATTCTACCAGTGACTTCATCCACAGAGCTATACTTTGGAGGCTGTGGCCTCAGGTTAATGTTTTTCAGATCTGTGTTATCGGTGGACAAACCCCATATGTTCAAATTATCAGGCTGAAAGCATCGAGCAGTTGGAGAATAGAAGCCAGGACAGAAATGTCCATTTGAAAGAACTTTTCCATTCTGGTTGACATGAGCAAGTGATTCACTTCCTAGAAAAGAGCTAAATTTCACAGCTTTAAGTGAGTTCAGGCCCTGTGATCTTGTGAGAATCTTTTCAGGAAAACTTTGCTTACCCACCTTGTCTAGAAAATCTGATTCCCTCATATCTGTGGATGAAAAGGTTGGATTGGACTGGCTAAAAGCTCCAGGGGTAGCATAATTCAGTGAATACAATTCTTGATTGGACCGTTCAAGTGGGTAAGAGATTGGTATCTCAATAGATGGTTGTCTCACGGTCCAATTCACTTGCGTAGTTGGAAAGTTTCCATTTGCTTGAATGGGATGCTGAGCTTCTAAGCGCTGGTTGCGAAGCTGCTGCAGATACAAATACTGCTGATGTATCCTATAATACTGTTCCTCATCAATACTCCTCCAACTGCTATGGGGCTGGCTTACCTGCTGTGAATGTAAATAAGGAAGTGGAGATCGTGCATCTGCATGGTAAGGCTGCTGATCAGACATCAGAGAAAACCCTGCAGCAGGTGCAGGGGTATTAGATAGGAATTGGAGACCTTGCACTCCATGAGCTAGTGGTAGACCAGCAGACAAATTCTCACCTGGTTGACAATAGCCAATTTGCAGCTTCTTGGCTTCCTGACTTTTTAGGCCAACTTTTGTTATATCAAACTCCTCTGAACCATGAGATGCATTATTTGATGCTTGGAAAGAAGGAACCACCATCACCCTAGAATCCACGTTGGAAATTTGTCTCTTTATGTTGTGTGCATATTGGCAATCTAATATGATGGCATGGTTTGACGAGGACTTGCCATTTGCCAAAAGTGGACTCTCAGTTGCCACTTTCACCTCATCACTGAAGCTCAGTTCTGCAAAGGCAGTAGTCAAGGAATGGTCATCTGCGAGATCTGCTTCCACTAGTGGAGCCCTCTTATTGGGTGACTTCTGTGTCTCATTCACTGATAACTTAAACTCATCTAAACCCCCATTTTTGTGGAGATTTTCATTTGAAGGCCCTTTACAGGAGTCTACAGAAATGGGCAACATACCAACATTCAAAGACATGCTTTTAAGCACAGATTCCTCAGAATGTGAATTCCCTGCAGTAGCTTGTGGTATCTCACCAAGAAGCCTCTCAAGTTCATCGTACTCTGACTCCATTCTCCCTTCTTCCATTTTGAAAAATGAGAAATGTTCAAGATTTCTGCACCAAAAAAATGCAATCTCTGCTGAGCAACGCACATCAAGGAAGAACCATTCAGTTAAACTATCATCTAAAAATAACACATAGGACTAAAACGACCACAGGGATGGTGAAATTAATATGCTTAAACTTATCAGAAGAAAAACAACATTAGCTACAATTTCAAATATGAATCACAATCAGAACCCAATCAGCCAATCATTAATGATCTCCCACAGAAAAATTGAAAATTTCTACAATCCATTGAAGCCCCATTACAGAAACACATCCACTATCATATCTAAGGTATAAATTTCACAAACTAAATCAACCACAGGTGAGGAAACTAGGCGATAAGGGCCTCCAGCACACTTCAACCAATGCAGCAAATCTCTTCAGAAGGGAAATAATTGTAAAATTACTTAAAGAACATAATTCAGACGATCAGACTTACTCTGAAATTACTTTGCTTAAACTCATCATAAAGGGAGAAAAACATCACCAGCTTCATTTCAATACCAAATATTCCAAGTAAAAGGCCGTGCAAGTCACTCACAACTAATGCAGTAATTCTCTTGACCAAAAAATGACAATAATAAACAGGTAGATCGTCTAATATCACACAACATAATTCAAATAAAAAAGTAAACCAATGTCACTCAAAAGCAAAACCCACTAGACATTTCTGAAACAGAATCAGGATCATCAGATTATTCAAACACCATTTTCCTCGATTTTCACGTCTAGTATACAGACAAACAGGAAAAATCCGATCTTTTACAGACAATCCCCACCCCCCCTCTCAAAAAAAAAAAAAAAAAACCACAATCCAAGATAAAGAACCAATCATAACATCAAATACCAATAACATTCCCCCCCCAAAAAAAAAAAAAAAAATCCCAATTCGGTTAAACGATCAAAGACCAATGTAGTAGAGAGCATGAAGCAATCAGAGTGCGGAAAGGGACGAACCAGTGACAGAATAACTGGCATTAGAGACACAGAGAAGCCATGGCTTTGGGAGAACAGAGATATG